ATTTAATTTTGTAAAAACATTTGCTAAAAATTTGCCAATTATTAAAAGTAATGATATCAAAACTTTTCATAAAAATTGAAATCATTGTAATTTGAACAGATGTAATTTGAACAGAATGACAAAAGTAAATATTTATAAAACAAGCAATTGAAGCGCAAAACAAGCAATTGAATTTATTTTTTACTATCAATAAAAAAATAAATGGAAAATAAAATTTAACAGTAACAATTTTTAAATATTGCTTTCATCGTCACATGAATGGAATGTGGCATTTCCATTCAAGTGTGTATTTCCATCATATATCCAATTTCAGGACTGATGCTAATGCATCAGTATCAGCCTGTGACCATTGGCATTGGCCAAAAGTATGCAAGTCCCTAATATATATATATATATATATATATATATATATATATATATATATATATATATATATATATATATATATATATATATATATATATATATATATATATATATATGTGCGTGTGTATGTATATATATATTTATTTATCGATATGTATATATATAGACATATAAATACACACACACATATATATATATCTACTATAGCATATTTATATGCGCAATTGCTCACTTTTTTTGCTAGCCTAATTTAAGTGAGCGTTTTTAGAAAACGATGAGGGAAAACGAAGAATAATGAATGAAAAGGTTGCTGACCCATACCAAACCCTCAGTCGATGTAGCAGCACCCCACAGCAAGTCAAGCTATTTGTCAGTCGATGTATGTACTGAAGCCCCCGGCAGCAGGCTATTTGACATTAGGTGAATATGACATCATCATGCTCACCTAACTCAGCAGTATAAGATATATATGTACATATATATGTGTGTGTATATCTATGTGTATATATATATACATAGATATGTATATATATATATATATATATGTATATATATAGACAGATAAATATAAACACACACACACATATATATCTATGTGTACATGTACATATATATATATATATATATATATATATATATATATATATATATATATATATATATTTCTCTCTCTCTTTCTCTCTCTCTCTCTCTCTCTCTCTCTATATATATATATATATATATATATATATATATATATATATATATATATATATATATATATATATATATATATATATATATCTTTATAGTGTAGTCGAAAGAGTCTTTTAATGTAAGAAAAGTCTCTTTTGACTACAATTTTAATTACCTCGTCTCTTAAGTTGTATTTGATTGTTGTCGAAATGTCAAAGCAATTAAATTAATGCGGAAGTACATTAAATTTTATTGTTTTTTAAAAATTTTTTAAAAAACCGCACTAATAACGACTAGAAAGTTTTTTTTAATTAGTAGTGTTTTTGTTTTATTAAAAAACATTTTTAAAACATGCGTAAATGTTGCTACATCGACTATCTTATAGCCTGATTCGCAAGGGAGTGCTGCTACATGGACTGACAAATAACCTGACTCGCAAGAGAGTGCTGCTACATGCACTGACAAATAGCCTGACTCGCAAGGGAGTGCTGCTACAACGACTGACAAATAGCCTGACTCGCAAGGGAGTGCTGCTGCATTGACTGAGGGTTTGGTTTGGGCAGGCAGTCTATCATTTAAAAAAAAAAAAAAAAAATTAAGTTTTTAAACTTTTTCTGGTCTGATTTATTAACGCGCTCTTTAAAACTACAGTTTATGGGAAACTCTTTTTCACTAACATGCAAGAGTATATATATATATATATATATATATATATATATATATATATATATATATATATATATATATATATATATATATATATATATATATATATATATATATATATATATATATATATATATATATATATATATATATATATATATATATTTATACATATAATTTTTATTAGACTTGTTTGTGTAAAATTCAAGACAATAATGAAAATAGCGAAGAAAATATCAGAAATTCTGAAAAGGACAAAGATGACTTACGTTATAAGGTAACATATTATTTTATTAAAGTTATATATCAATATTATTTTTTGAAATTAAAAAAAAAAAAAGTTTTGTTCTTGATCTTTTTTATGTTTTACAATGCTGTTTTTTTGTGTGTGTTTGTGTTTTTTATGTGTTAGTGTTTTTTGTGTACTTGTGTGAGTGTGTATATAGACAAAACCTTAAGCTTTTGATTTAGCTAATTAGTGCAGAATCAGACTTGGTGCAAAATTCACTTCAATTGCATATGTTAAAAGAGGTAGGAATATGTTACAAGTTCAATATATTAAAAAAAGGTAGGAACATTTTTTATTCTTTTCTTACACAGGGTATTAATAATTTTTGCGGAAGCTCTGTTAATATTGGTATTTTCACATTAAATAGAAAATGTATTAAATAGAATGATTCAAAAAATAATTTTTTTACTTTAATTTTATTCACAATATATTTTTCTTGTATTACAATATATTTTTCTTATATTCTTTTTTTTATTTTGAATAAAATCTACAGAATAATAAAATGTTATTAAAATAATGTGTTGATAAAAAATATTGTTTGTTACAACTAAAGATTAATATGACAACTATCTATGATGACAATTTTAAAAAATTGGTTTGTCAAAATTTCCCTTATATAGAATTAGTAATCTCTTTCAAAAAGGATATATAATATATAAGAATATATTAACATTATAATTGAAATTCTAAGATTTTGCAAGCTCTTTCAAAAAAATATTGAATTCTTTTAAAAGAGCTTAGTATTAAAAAAAAAATTGCATTTATTGTATGTTTAGTTGTGAACCAAAGGAAATGGTTGCATTTATTGTTAAATGTAATTGCGAACCAAAGGATGTGGTTACATTTATTGTAAATGTAATTGTGAACCAAAGGTTGTGGTTGCATTTATTGTAAATATAATTGTAAACCAAAGGATGTGGTTGTATTTATTATTGTTTACTTTGATACATTCTGTAGTTGTAGAGTTGAAAAATTCAAATGATTGAAAACGAAGAAAAGGTTCATTTTAAGGATTGGCTTTGATGACTTCTATCTTTATTATCTACAAATAAGTTTAAATTTGAATAAATATTTTACAGTGTTGTTTAGGAATTAAGAGAGGCTTTAGATCATAATGAACTTTTGGAATTTCAAATTGCAGAAATGGAACACTCATTTAAAGTTTGTTTCTTTAACTTATTAAATTTTATGGTTTCAATGGTTTCTTTTTATTAAACTGTAAATTAATTTTATATTCAAGAGGTTTTGTTTTAGCTTAAAAAAAAACAGCCATTGCTTAGCTTTATTGAAGAGGAAAAAGACGATTTTTATTTGGTAATTGCATAAATTTTGACCAGTTAAACTTTGTTTTGAATTTTAAAAATTTGTTATATAAATACTGTGATTATGAGAATAATATGATATGAACAAGTGATGTGGCGTGTGACAAACTTAGCGTGCTTATGTGACAAATGTAGTGTGGTTATGTGATAAATGTACTGTAATTATGTGAAAAACTTAGAGTGGTTATGTGAAAATGTAAATGTGACAATGTGGTTATGTGACAAATGTAATGTGCTTATGTGACAAACATAGTGTGATTATGTGACAAATGTACTGTTGTTATGTGACAAACATAGAGTGGTTATGTGAAAATGAAGTGTGCTTATATAACAAATGTAGTGCAGTTATGTGACAAACATAGTGTAATTATTTGAAAAATGTAATGTGACAAGTGTAGCATGATTATGTGACAAATTTAGTGTATATATATGATGTAAAGATGTGACAATTTAATACATGACATTGGGCAAGCTGATGTGATTGTATAGTGTAAAAAAGGCTTGTGATTGTGTGTGTATATTTGTGTGAATATGTAAAGGATAAAAAAGTACTTTCTTTCATCTAGGATTCAGTTAATGATTGCAATGCAGTCTCTGTGCGAATTGGTCTAAAAGAAATGCAAATAAATAGGGTATTTAAATATTATTTTAAATTCTTAAACAGTTTTTTTCAAATTTTGTTAAAAGTTGTTTTATTTTATGAAAAAAATCAGAGTGGTGATTTATCAGTTCAAGAAATGAAAACGTTATCACAAGCAATGGGATTAATAGATAGAGGTATAAAGGTATGAATTTACCAGTTATATGTTCTATTTGTTTTTTTCTTTAACACCATAATTTATTGTTGTTATATATATATATATATATATATATATATATATATATATATATATATATATATATATATATATATATATATATATATATATATATATATATATATATAATAAGTCTTGATAATATTATATAAGTCTTCATAATATTTCTAAATTTTATAAATAAAATCCCGAAAAAATAATTTTTTTATATATATATATATATATATATATATATATATATATATATATATATATATATATATATATATATATATACTTAAATTGTATAATGTTATGTAATTTTAAATTGTGTATTGTATTGGTTGTAATAATTTGTATATAGGATATAAATGCATTAAAAGAAAGTGATGAAAACCTACGAGTTAAAATGGTTGAAATTGTTAATATGGTATATTTTTACTATAAGTGTGAAAATTTTTTGTTTTGGTTTTTAATTAATCAATTAGTAATAATTAAGTTTATATTAATAATTTATTTGTTGATATTTATTAACATCAATTTTTTATATTTTTTATGTTTTATTTCTTTTTGTTAATCATGTCATAGTAATAGTAATATAAATGATGTAGCGAGTTAAATGGTACTACAACTACTCTTTATTTTATTTATAATAATTTACAATTTGTTAAAAATCAAAGTTATATATATATATATATATATATATATATATATATATATATATATATATATATATATATATATATATATATATATATATATATATATATATATATATATATATATATATATATATATATTAAAAATCTATTAAGTCTTGCTTTATAAGAGTTCAAAGACTGTGCATTCACCACGTGAATCGGTAATGCATTTCATTCATTTGCAATATGGTGACTAAAGAATGTTTGTCGAATGCTTGACTTTTTTTTTTCAATTCTTAGGTTATGATCTCTTGTTGCTGATGCTGGTCTGCTTGATGACTCTGAGTACATTCTGCACTTGATGATGCCATTTGATATCTGATGAGATCAACACGCTGAGGTCACATTCTACAGTTGTTTTGCCTAGTTTGTACTCAACACCATTTTCTGTAATCATTTAGATAGTTTTAGGGTTCTTTTTACCAACATATCTATCCATTCAACTAACTTGTTGATATCCTTTTTCAAACTGATCGTATTCGAAATTTTATTGGTTTTTTATTGGTTTCATTAGCTTGCTGTTGTCAGCACAAAGTTTGCATATACATTGTAGTGTTTTTGGTATGTTGTTGATGTATATCAAAAAAAAAAAAAAAAAGAGGCCTAAAAACAGATCCCTGAGGAACACCACTGAGTATATTCAACCATGACGATGAAACTTCTCTCATTGCTTTGCCTACGATTGGTTAAAAAAAGCTCAATTCATCCCAACAAAACACTGCATATCCCATATGCTTCACATTTGAGTAATATCATTTTGTGCTGTACCCTCTCAAAGGCCTTGCTGAAATCAAAGTAAATTATGATCATTGAACACTTGCACTCAATGTATGTTTTCAAAAAATCCAATGTTTCCAGTAAGTTGGTTACACAAGCCCTTTTCTTCACAAAACCATGCTGGCATCGCGATAGAGCATCATGTAGTTGCAAATGGTCAGTTATTGCTAAACGAATAAACGCTTCCATAATTTTGCATGGAACTGACGTTAAAGACACTGGTCTGTAGTTTAACGCTACATATGGTTTGCTCTTCTTTAATAAAGGGGTTATGTTTGTTTTACTCCAACTATTTGGTATTGTTCCCGATTCAATTGTAAGGCTAAATATGATTGCTAGAAGTTTTGAGAGAGTTGGCGCACATTGCTAAGTACATATGGACTCATCATATTGCTGCCTATTGCTTTGTTTTTGTCCAATTATTTTAGTTTATTTTTTAGGTTCTCAGAACATAACACACTTCTCCAGTCCCAGTCAATGTCTTCATTTATTTCTTTATGAAATTTTGGTATCTCCCTCAGACACAAAAATAGATTGAATCTTTCATTTAGACAATGTTTTTTTAAGACATTAGTCGCCTAACTTTAGCCAAAATACATGGATCCTTTATCACTTTTTATTTTCTTTTGTTTGGGCAAAATAAATTGCTGGCGTATGCTGCTATATTTTTTCAAGAAGTTTTCATAACACTCATTTGCTGATTTTCCTGCAAACTCATTACCCCAGTCAAAACTCCTTATCCCAGTCAAAACTCCTTATCCCAGTCAAAACTCTCTTTATCTAAGTCAATATGCTCATTTTTTGTAATATATATATATATATATATATATATATATATATATATATATATATATATATATATATATATATATATATATATATATATATATATATATATACTGTCTAAATTTATTATTGATGACTCATTAAACCATGTCTTGGTTATTAATTATAATAATGCCTGTATTATTCACCTGTATTTAAGCTTCAAATTGGTGTCTTTTGTTGTTTAGGAAAGTGACATTGGTATACCAGAATTTTAAACATGATGTCAGTGAATGAAATGGCTTATGCTGTCGTTGTTTTATATTTATGACTTCTTGACTTGCTCCAATTGGCAATCTGTTAAAGCTGTTGTCACTGTCAAACCTACAGCTGATACTTTAATCATAGCTACTGCTCCATTTTTGATGATGTACAAAGTTGACTCATTCACTACTTGCTTTCGTACCATTCGTTGAACATGTGTCAAATCAGGATTAATATATATTTCACATTTTTAACAAATGCTGTCTTTTTTTACTTTTTTACTTTCTTTGTTTTGTCCTGTGTCTCTTTACTAATTGCATTTAAAATGTTGGCTTTATCCACATTAATCAATTGAGCTGCATCTGATGCAACCACTGAGAATAACTATTTACTTGTTACAGATGTTTGAACTAGATTGGTTTCAAGCTTGTCTAGTCTATCAACCAGTTTAGCATTTTCAATTCTAAGTTTAATGTTGTCTCAAAACAGTACTGCTATCTCTGTTTTTTTATCTCCTTAAGTGCCTTGTTCATCTCAGCTTTAAAATCATCAAAATCTTTTTTCACCCTTAATAAGAGTAGATTACCTCCTGTCTGTGAAATATATGTTGTTATTATTACTAGTTGTAACCGTATCAACACAATAAAGAAGAAGTTATTAATGTGTTTTTTTCTTGAAGATTACTTTTAATGTTAGAATATATAAATAAAAAAAAAGTTAAATAAATATATAAAAATAAAAATACAAAGAATATATAAAAAGCAAAAATTTTCTGGTTAATAGTGTATAGATTTTATTCATTAATTTTATTTATTAGTTTCAAATTTGACTGGTTAATTAATTTTTGGGTTTTTACAGTACAATGACGCAAAATTGCAGTTGGTTTCAAAAGAAAAAGAACTAAACAAACTTTTGAAAGAAAAATCAGTAGCTGAAGAAAAAGAATTGTTTACATATGAATTAGGTTTATTATTTTTATTTATTATAGACACATCTACTTTATTCAAAAAGGTATTTTTGTACTTTACAAAAAAATAATTTTGTACAGATTCTTGTTTTATATTTTTTTATATAAATTGTAATGAGGTTACCAAATATGATTTTCGTATTTATTCTTTATTATCTATTAATTTCAATAGGTAGAAAATAATGGCTTCAATGTTATGATTAATCTTAAACACTTTATAACTTCTAATTGTAATAATGTAACTTTCGTATAAGAAGGGGATATATATGTATTTTTAACTTTTTTTGACCCCCTTGTTTCTTAATTTTTGCGATCATCAAAGAGAAAAATATTCAGAATATATTTCGCTTTGATCTTAATTTATTGTTAAGCTTATAATTTTTTTGGAAACTTTTCTCAATTTTTTAATAGGTATTGATTGAAAAGATTAGGAAACAGATATATCTCAAATATATATTTAAAATTATATTTGCTGAAAAATTTTTTGAAATCTGTTGCTACAGAAAGTTGAAAGAATCTCTTAAATCTATCCTAAACCTACTAATCATTAAAGCAAACTTATATGAATAATATTATATAAACAATATGTAGCAATAATATGTAACAAATAAACCTAATATATTTTTGTAACAAATTAAAAAAATTACAAATAAAACATAACATTTGTCAACTTTCTGAGTAAACAATAAACATTGAACATGGCTTCTGTTATGAAGGTACTTTTCAAAATCACTTTTAACAGCCGGAATCTACGGGATAGAGGGGGAACCAAGCACAGCTAGTTATAAATAAAACCATTTAATATTAACTAAAAAATATTAACTAAAAAATGTATTAGAATAGTTGAATGATTAAAAAAATTGATAATGATAAAAGATGCATTAAAAGGCGAAGTTGATCAACAGAAATTAACTTCAATATTTTTAATAGTTTTTGTGTAACTCAAGATAGACAGGAAATACTAAATATTTTTAATGTTTCTTTTTCTTGTTTAACAACACTGAAGTCAGTGAATCGACAATCTAGGTCTGAGGATTAGCAACTTAATTATTTTATTAAAAAACATTTTAAAAAATTTTTCTGATTTCTATTCTGACAGAGTTACACAAAAACTACGGAGAAAATTGTAATAACTTGACAAAAAGAAAAATTCAAATATCTTTTTAAATCAAAATTTTTTAAAGTGAGCTTTATGACAAAAATTGTTTACAATAACTTTACATTGCGTGATCACCACTATATTTTTCTGCTTTTACACATGGCATTAGCGTTATATTAAAAAATATATCGAATCCTAACAATGGCTTGATTTTCTACTCACAGTTTTTTGAAGTTTTTTCGAAGTTTTTTGAAGCAATTTAGTTTATAGTTATAATCTGCATGTTAATAAATCTTATTGAAAATTTTTGATAATTTTTCTTTCAGAATATGAATTTGAATTAAAAGTTGCTATCAAGCAAAAAAAGCCGAATTTTATTATGAGTTTTATTTACAAAATTAAACTATTGCGTAGCAAAATTTTTCTCTTTTTGCTGATTACTGCTTTGGTTTTGAGTTTTTTAAAAAATGCAACTACGATCAACTTCGTGATTATTTAGTGCTTCAAAGTAAATGAATTTGCAGTCTATAAGTTCTGCCACAAACATCGATTACAAAAAATATTTTAAAAATTAAAGAATGGTTATCAGAAAAGCTTTCTTTTTATGAGGTAAAAATCAAGCATTTGCTTATTTAGGGGATGGCAAAAAATGATCTAGAATCTAAGCAATTCCTATGCTATAGTGTCATGATAAATGGACAGCACTCTTTGATGGACAGCACTCCTCGATGCACTTCAAACACTCCTTGATGAAGAGTGCTCTTCTTCATATCCTGTAACTTCAGGGATTCCTCAAGGTTCTATCCTTGGCCCTATACTCTTTTTAATTTACATTAACAATCTGTTAGAAATTTAATTTTTTTCAGCTAATAATTATCACAATAATCTTGATCTTCCTATATTTATTAAAAATGAACTATATTAATTGAATTAAATGAACAATATTATGATCTATATTTATGAACGATTATGTACTCGATGAGTCATCTACCCTATGTCTTCTAGGATTAACTCTTACTCAATATATTTCTTGGAAATCATATATCAAATCGATTGCAAAATTAGCATCTGCTAAGGTTGCATCTCTTTATCATACTTGCCACTTTCTTACTCCAGATTCTATTCTTTATCTGTATGGAATACTGTTGCCATTTGTGGGGCAGATTTTCTAATGATGCCCTTTCTCTTTTAGATAAGATGCAAAAACACATTGTAAACATAGTTGGACCTTCTCTTGCAGCTAACCTTCAACCATTTTTATATCGTCATAATGTTGCTTTTCTTTCTCTTTTCTATAAATACTATAAAAGAC